GGTGGGGTGGCGTGGGGTGGGGTGAGGGTAGAACTATAAAGGAGCGGGGGCAGAGCTTCTGGAGGGCTGGTCATGCTCTGGTTCTTGATGAGGATGCTAACTACACGTGCGTGCTTGATTTGTGAAAAGTCAAAGGGTTATACTTACATGATCTGTACTCTTTTCTGTATATATGTTTCAATAAAAAGTTCAAAGTCCTGACTAAGACAGTAAGTGTCATATCGGGGAAGGTGCTGAAGACTGAACGAGTAAAGGATAATATTTGCTGATTGCAATCAATTACTCTGTGATCCAAATCCAAAGGGAGTCATTCCCCACTTATCCCACATTTCTTTCTGCTGAGCATCTTAAAATTACAGTACCTTCTACACCTACACATCCCTGGCTATTTCTTTGCCTGAGAGATATAGGAAGGAGCTATTGTTCTGCCGGATTTGCAGACAGGTAAACTGAGTAAGGGCAGGGAATGGTTTGCCGTGGTAGGGTCTGAGCTGGAACCCAGGAATCTACCTCTCTGGGCAGCACTGACTTGTAGCCCAACTCTGCCTGCCCTTAACTCAGCAGCAGCTCCTGTCACCAGCCTCTCCCAGCCCTGGCAAAGAATCTAAGGGACTGAAATGTAATAGTAGGTACAAATCCCTGGCTCAGATTTCTCTCAGTTTGGCGTCAGCTGGAGACCATCCCTGTTCAGGAATCCCAAAGGTCAGAGAAAATGGGTTCTGCATGCGGGATCAGTGGATTCTAGGTAATCAAGGGTCACCCCAGGGCCAAGGCAGTGGGGGAGGGGCATCCATTAGGAAGAAGGCTAAAAAGGAGGAAAAGAGAAAAGTAAAATACGTGTCTGGCCGGCATCACTCAGCAGTTGAGCATTACCTATGATCCGGGAGATGCTGGTTCGATTCCTGGTCAGGGCACATGCCGGGGTTTCTGGCTCAGTCCCCAGTGGGGGCCCTGAGGGAGGCAAGAGATCAATGACTCTCATCATTGATGTTTCTATCTCTCTCTCCCCCTCTCTCTTCCTCTCTCCGAAATCAATTAAGACATTGAAAAAAGAAAAGGAGAGGAAAATACGAGAAAAAAGAAAATAAAGCAGAGAGGGAGGAAAGAGAGAAAGAAGGAGGAAGATGAGTGTTTATGGTGGGGTGGGAACAAGGACCATCAGTAAATACCATCTATTTAGGGCTTCCTATATACCGAGCCTTTTCCACCCAACAACCAATTTAATCTTCACAACACCCTATGAAGTGGACCTGATGCTTCTCCCTATTTTACAGATGAAGAAACTGAGGTTTAGAAAGATTAAGGAACTTGCCTAGAGGACAAGAATTTGAACCCTAGTTGTCTAAGTTTAGAGCTTCTGTCTATATAGTATCAAGTGGAGAAACACAAGTAAGGAAACATACACAGATACACATACCAAGTGTGTTAATTGTGTATGATACCAATTGTGTTAAAAATACATGAATATCAAGAAAATAAAAGGACACCGATAGATGGGAGAAAATGTTTGCAAATCATATATACAGCAAAAGACTTATATCTGGAATATATAAAATGCTGTTACAACTCCACAATAAAAGACAGCCTGATTTTAAAATGGGCAAGGGATTTGAGCAGAAACTTCTCCAAAAAAGATGTACAGCTAGCCTATAAGCACATGAAAAGTTGCCTGACATTTTTAGTCATTAGAGAAATGCAAAACAAAACTACAATGCGAGCCCACTTTCCATCCACTAGGCTGGCTATAATGAAAACGATAGACAATAACAAGTGCGAGAACCAGGAGAAAGTGGACCCCTCGGACACTGCCCATGGGAATGGGAAACGGAGCAGGTGCTGTGGAAACTGGCAGCTCCAAAACGTTTAAACAGAGTGACCAAGTGATGTAGCAACTCCACTCCAAAATACAGGGTGTCCCCCCAAAACGTACACACACTTTAACAGTTGATAGCTCAATTGATGTTTCTTTTCAGATTTAACCCATTGGAATTAAATGAGTTAAATCAAATACATTTTTGGGACACTCTGTATATAGCCAAGAGAACTGAAAACATATACCCACACAAAAACTTGTTTATGGCTCTCCCTCCTGGGAGCATGCTCCTGTGTCTTTCCCTTCCTTCCCCCCCTCCCAGGGGCATTAGCATTAGCTTCCTCCATCCCAAGCTCCAAGGGCCCTTCCTTTGCCTCTAGAACTTGTTTCCTAAGCCCATTTCTTCTAGGAATTGCTTCTTCTACTTCTGTGATTTTCTAAATAAATGTTCTCTTATAGTTCGGGTCTTGGCTCCGAATTCTTTACTAGCCAGAACCCAAGTACCAAGGTTGCTGAACCCAAGTCCAGTCTGACCCCACAGGTCTAACACCCAGTGCGTTCCTGTCGCCTACAACACAACCATTTTGTATTATTGAGCCAAAGAAAGAATGTCTCAATAAGTTAATTCTAGACTTGGAGTGTCATACAATTTAGTGAAAAGGACAATGTTACCATACCAATTAAGTAGAAGGTGCAATTATTTGCCTTTTGAAGCCAATTGGAGCTCTAGGAATAGACTAAATAAAAAAATAAATAACTAGTTTATGAGCTGTCATGGCATTATTCATAATGGCCCCAAAGTGGAAACATTTCAAATGTCCAGCAATTGGTGAATGTGATATATCCATATAACTGAATATTACCTGGCAATAAAAAAGAATTGAAGCACCAACACATGCTACAACATGGATGAAACTTGAGGTGACTAACACACAACACTGAATATATTATAAACCAGTGAATTGTATACTTTAAAAGGTTGAACTTTAAGGTATGTGTAATATTTCTCAGTAAAGCTGTTATAAAAAATACACAAATGTGTATAGGAGGGAATCTGGAAGGATGAGAGCTGAATATTAGTGGTTATTTTTCTATGGCTAGATTACAGGTAATGATTTTTCTTGTTAGTGTTTTGCTGCATTTTCCGGATAGTCTACAATAAACTTTTATTACTTTGGTGATCATAAAATCAATTTGTTCTTTTTAGTTGGTTAAAGGAGGCATGGGTGGAGTTTGCCTGCTCCAGCTTTCATTGCAGAGAGAGAGGTGCCTGCAAATGTACCTCCCAGCTGATGTGGTACCCAGAGGACAGGGGCATGGGATGAATAACCTTCTATGCAGTGATAGGTGTCAAGGCTCACATGCCCACCCTCAGCCCTGTGAGCTGGGCTGGGCTATGGCAGAACATGTGCTGGCCCTAGCACATCTGGCCATCTCTCTACCTGCCCTATGAGCAACTGCATGGCATCAGCCAGAGTCAGGGAGGCTGGAGTTGCACAGCCCAGATACTGCTGGAGGAAATAGATTTGCCTGCAATAACCTATTGGGAAATTAGTCTGGAAAAAGAGCCCTGAGAGCGACCCCCTCCCCCAGCTCAGGGTCACCCTGGGGGAACTTTAGAGCAGATAACACATTAACCCCTTTCCCTAGCTCTGAGCTTTGGGGATCTTTAAAGTACACTTTGCACAGCACCTAATTTGGTCTAAATCATAGACCCTGACAGCTGGAGGGCCCTACAGTCTGGGGCTCCCACCTGTTCTCACTAGTAACATGCACGCAATATGGAGGTAAGGAGTGCACATTTAGCACATTCCCATGTTTCCCCAGGTGCTGACTGAGCCCTTTTATTACAGAGATAATCTGCGATGTTCTCCGGTTTATTTTTGTAACCTTTTCTTCTGATTGATTGATTTTTAAAAAGTAAATAATTCTTACAAGTCAATGACATAAAAACAGGAAGTGTTTTAGAAGAAAACAAGTCAAAACACATAACAGGTTGTGGACCTTGTTTGAATTCTGATCCAAACCAATCAACCGCAAGAAGGTATCTTTAAAGTAAGCAGAGAAATTTTAATATGAACTGAGTATTAGGTGATATTGAGAAATTATTGTTAATGCTATTATCACTACCCAGAATGCTCTTGTTCATACATTTCAGTACCTACCTTCCCTTCCTAGACCAGGGGCAGGACCCAGTCTGTCTCCTCACAGGGAGTGGGAGGTAGCACAGTGACCAATAGTGTGACCCACACTTGATCATTTACTGTGATCCTGGGCAAATTACTTAATCTCTCTGTGCTTTTTTTCCTTTTCTTTCCTAATCTATAAAATGGGGGAAATAATACAGGGGTGGGCAAACGTAGGTTTACATAATACAAGTAAATAATACAATAATTAATAAATAAATACAACACAAATAACTGTTTCACATACTCACAACTGTAAACCTACTTTTGCCCATCCCTGCAGAATCCAAGGCATAGGCTGGATTTGACGATTAAATGAGTTAATATTTATAAAGCACTCAACTCAGATCAATGTCTGGCACAAAGTACACTTACAGGTATTTATTCAGGAGTGTTCCAAACCCTGGGTTACAACTAGATTCTACGAATCCAAGGGAATCCTTGGATTTCATAAGGAAAACTCACTGACAACAGTCTAACCAGGTTCAGGTGACCCTAGAGCCCTAGCAACAGAATGTGGAAAGCCAGGCCGGGGCAGAACATGTACATACAAAACATAAAACAGCGAGTAAAGGCCAGAAGCCTGGCTTCTGAAGCCAGACTGGGTTCCAATCCTGCCTCTATAACCAGTGAGGGTGTGACTTTGAGTAAGTCACTCCTAAGCTCTCTAGGCTTCAGTTGACTCCTTAGTAAAGGGACTATCACAGCACCTACTGTAGGGGTTGGAGAGGAGTAGATGGAACAATCTAATCCTTAGCATGGCCAGCGCTCACTGAACACACTGTTCTTTTATTATTATTATTATTGTTGATTGATTTTAGAGAAAGAGGCAGGAAAAGAGAGGGAGGGAGAGAGAGAGAAGAGGGAAACATCGATGTGAGAGAGAAACACTGACCAGACCCGCAACTTGGGTATGAGCCCCGACTGGGAATCTAACCGGGACCTTCCTGCGCGAGACGCTCAGCCAAGCGAGCCCCGCGGGCGGCGCGCAGCACACTGTTCCTGTTAGCTCTGGCTCCCTCACTCACGGTTGCAGGGCAGCCAAATCCTTTCTGCTCTGTAGGCCTCACTGTGCCCATCCTCATGTTTCTGGCACAAGAGGGAAGAGAAAGGAGGGTTAACATTTGCTGGGCCACCTCCGCTGAGGCCGAGAAAGGTCTCTATTGTTGCCCAAACAGCGGCTGCCAGACGCAAATCAGCTGGATCCGGTTCCAAATCCACTCACCAAGCTGCTTTTCCTCAAGATTCCGTGGAAAAAGCCCTTGGAGCGCTATCTAAATTAAAGCCACCCTTTGAAACTCAAGTTTCAAGAGATAAAGGGACCCCAGCAGTGATTTCCTGGGCAGCTGAAGCCCCAGGAAGACACTTTCAAACTAGTGCCTGGGGCAGCGATGCCTTTCGCACGGTCTGATAGGACAGCCACCCTCGGCTCCTCTCCTCCCCGCCAACCCGACCCCCAGGTGCAAAATCAATGCCCACCCCTCCACCCCCCGCTCCAACTGTGCCCCTGGCCCAGCCCCCAGCCCGCCGAGGCGGGGGCACCCGCGCGGAGAGCGGATGAACCAACATACCCCAAAGCTCGGGGTCCTTAGCTGACCTGGCGCGGCTCCCGAGGCTCCGCAGAGGCTTCCCGTCGTCTCGTCCAAGTTGCGCTCCACAGCCTGCTGTCTCTTCGCAGCGAGTCCGCAGGGGCCGGTCTCAAGGTTACTAAGGGGCACCCGGTGATCCCAGGGATGGGATTTACGGATACAAGATATTGGAGGCACCTGGGGACCCAACGCGGAGGGAACCTGGGAACAGGGCAGGAGTTCCCGGGAAAGAGAGGCGTCACAAGAATGGCATGTTGGGGTGGGGTGAGTCCTGGAACTACAAGGACCAGATTCCTCCTGACCCAGGGTCCCCGCCCGTACCGGTCCCGGGGCCCCGCGCTACCTGTGCGCCGCCGGCGGCCTGCGCGCGGTTCGGCGCAGCCGGCTCGGAGCGGAGCGCACACAATGGGCAGCTTTCAGACGTGGCTGCGGTCCCGGAGCCGGCAGGCGGGAGCCAGGGCGGGAGGGAAGGAAGAAGCCGGTTGGCCCCCGGCTCCGGCTACCCAGCCCGCCACGGTCCGAGGGGCCACGCCTCGGGGGAGGGGCAGCTGCCCAGGGGCGGGCGCAGGAGGATCCCGGATAACTGGGGGCACAGGTAGGCTCTCGGGGGCTGCAGGACGCGCACTGTTTGCACGAGGATGTCAAAGGGTGCTAGCAGAGTCACCTCTCATCTCACTAAGGGACCAAAACAGTTGTCTCCTTCTCCAGTCCCGAGAAGGGAGACTCCCGGGAGCACAAAAGGCCCTTGTGAAGGAAAAAAAAAATTTTGAAAAAAAATCTTAATTTTGCCCTTCCTCGCTCTCGGTGGCATCCTCGCAGCGAAGTGACTTGGAATCCAAACCGGCTTCCCAAGGCCCCAGCCTTCAGCCCTAAGCCAAGTACAAAGCACCCTGATGCCAAGTGAACCCACAAAGTAGTGGAGCTGCGAGGGGCCCAGAGTCAGGTGGCCCCGCAGGGGCTAGGTCCGCAGCGGGCTGGCTGTCTCCTCTAGTCCCTCCCCTGCTCTAGCCAAGAGGGCAGCAAGTTCGGATAAATACAGGATAGGTTTCAATAAAACAGATTTCCTCCGCTACAGATAACAGAGCAGAGTCCAGGCATCTGGAAAATGATAGACAATTCTGGCCTCTGGTCATCCGTGGTGGGTTCTAAAGGAAGCCTCGGCTGTTGGAGTATATAGATTAGTGCATTCTTTCCAGGATGCGGTTTGGCAAAATGAGTTAAAATCCTTAAGAACGGTCATAAGCTTTTTGAATTAGTAATTCCTTTCTAGGATCTTTCTTAAGGAAATAAACCAGCAACAAGGGTTTGTACATGGGGTTCATAGAAGTGTTTGTGACAGCAAAAAAAATTTAGAAACAATACAAAAGATTAGAAAGATGTGTACCAGAATGCCAACAGGGGTAACTTCTGGGTAGCGAAGTTACAACGTATTTTCTTTAGGTTTCTGTAATTACACATTTCCTCCAATAAGCATTTAGAACCTCTCTGGTCAGAAACTTCTTTTTAAAAGCATGAACTTGAAAGGGGAAAAGATATAGAATTGCTTTATTAACCTTACACGATGAGACCTAAGTGGGGCTTTAAGGGTCTCACCTGATTGAAACAGAAACTGGATAATCACTTCCCAAAATTAGGGATTGACCCCTCCAAATAGTCTCAAACCCTGACTTAGCAACTGGTTACAGCTCAGTTGATAAAATCCTGTATATTACTCACCTTTTTCTCTTGCAACTACACTGATTCAGGTTCAGAAGCTAACAACATCTGATCTGTAAATATGATGTTCACCAGACACAGTTGTAATTTTCCAGCCTGTGGTTTCCACATGCCATGTGGATTCCACCAAAAACTCACATTTACTTGGGGCTGGACCAGGGGACTTTTGCCAAAGAGCTAACAAAAGCTCCAAGGTCTTTGAGCAGAGCCCTGGCAAAGCAAGGCTGCTGGTGAGTAACTTGGAGAAATGTGTGCCACCTCTGCCCTCCCCATTCTTTCCCTTTCCAAACCCTTCCCCTCTAAAAAGCCACATGCAGCCTCCATTTTGAACATTTTAATTAGAAAGTTATAAAACATCATGGTTTTTTATACAAATTTTGCATTAAAGCAATTTAATAAAATGCAATGTTTATACATCTTTAGCTGTCTTTCCATATCTCATTACCTTTTTGTAATTCAGAAAATTCAGCAACAAATTTTCATTTAGGCATATAAATAAGCAGCCCTAAATTTTAAAAGAAAAACCAGAGGGGCCAGTGTTAGGATATCTGAATACTGCAAAACAGCTTTGTTTCCAAAACCTTTATTTTGGTCAGCCTGAAAGAAAAGGTGCTTTGGAAATAAGAACTGAATCTCTAAGGTAAGCTGAGGCACACGCCAAAGAGTATGTTTGAGCATGGGTCACAATGGACCCATCCTTCCAGTACCAATGATGTCTCTGGATCATAAAGCAGATCCATCTGTCCTTTGAGGAAACTGCATGTTTTCTCAGGATGAAACAGAGAATCAGTCTTCTGTTTGTAACAAAGACCTGCTCCAGCACTCTTCCCCTACAGACACTCGCTTGGTCACGAGGGTAATCTGGCTGGACTGCTTGCCACTCTGCTATTGGCCAAGCTGGACTGGCGGCCCGGCCTAGCACCCTCACTCCCCTCTCACGTCTCCTGTGTGCGCTCCCCAAGGCTGTCTGCTCTGATGGGCACCCTTGTTCCCTTAGTCAAGGGAAATACAAGCAGCTGGGCTTCCCGCTAGCCCTCCAAATAAACTCTGTGGTTGTCAGGCAGGGAGCCAAGACCAACAACAGGTCCTCTGTCACCCATGTCCTTTTCAGGAAGGGGGAGAGGCTGTCGAGAAGGAGTGGCAAGTGTCCAGGCTTTTGGGTGAGGACCAGAGAGGAAAAAAAACTCTGTTGTTATAATCCTTACTCCCCCCACTGTTGCTGAGAGGATTGTGAATGAAAACAGCACTTCTGACTTCAGCCTGCTGTTCCAGGGGTACAGACAGAGGGCAAAAGGCAGGGCAAAGAGCCAGCCACATTAGGGCAGGACAAAGGGCTTTTCAGCTGAGCTGATGACAGTCGATGTCTGTTAAGACTGAGGGCAGGTGGACGCTCCTAGTGTCCTCAAGTTGCCTACCCTCACGTGCATGCACACACGTGTTCTTGAGCATGCACTTTCTCCCCTCCCCCAATTCTCCAGTTAAAGGTCTCTCAGTTCTGGAAATCAAAGTTCTGAATGAGAAATTTAGGTGCCCAAGAGTGGAAAGTGCTAGTGACTTGCATATCTGTCATGAGAGCCCTGAAGAGAGCAAAAAGTGGTTTACAATAGGGGGAAGAAATGCATAGCATGTTTCTCAGTTCAAGGGAGCAAAAGTCTTTGCTTGACTAGAGTTGGAACTCTTTCCAAACTGATTGTAGTTTTCTCCTGAAATTCAAGTCTGAGGCAAAGGAAAAAAGGGGGTAGCAAATTATAGCCTTCAGGAACCCTCAGACCTTTCCACAGACTATTCTCTGATGACTTTGGTAGGCACTTAGAAGATACAGAATTTGTGTAGAGAAAAATTAGAAAGAACTCTTCTTTGTCACTGGTTGGAAAAACACACATGCTGACACATGTCCATGGGCCCTTTTCAGAAGTGTCCTAAGATAGCAGTTCTCAGAAGACAATATGAGGTAGCCAGGGTCCTGCTTAGAGTTTTCAGTCATGGTCTTCTTTATGATAAGTGCTCCTTATAGAGTTCTCCCTGGGGCATTGCTGTCACAGGGATTGTGGTGAACACCTGATTTTGAAACACAAATCTTTTGATTCTTTCAAATACCCAGAGGAAGATAAGTAGGATACTGACATACTGGATCCAGGCAAACTTTATAATTTCCCAGAATCCTGGTAGATAAGTATACACAGTTAAGGAATCTCAGATGACATTTTCTAAGTAAATGTTAAGCTAAAGTTTAGACAGGATATGGAAAAAATATTTCAAATACCTTTAAGATAAAAGGGATAATAAAAGATTATTAGGACATAAATATGGATGATTCTGACCTAGAAGAATTGCTCATAAAGAAATAAAAACAGGAAATGAATTCCCCCCCACCCACCATGAACAGCAGGCAGAGTTGTTTGTGTGGGGCTACAAATACTGCAGCAATTTCCAGTCTAAGGCTTCCCACATCTGTTATTTCTTGACACGAGTAAGGAATCCTTTTTCTTTTTTGAAACTGAGCTATATATATATATAAAAGAAAGAAACTGAGCTACAGTTGGCTCCTTAACAGAAAGGATATGAAATGACTTCCACAGGGTATCGGATGACAGCATTAATCACAAATGGAGCTTCGGCAGCCCTTCCTACCAGCCAGATGGGGTTGGGGTCGGTCAGGATGGTGGTTACTGCAATACAATGAAGAATTAATCCATGAATGCTTTTTGGCAATAAAATATTGAGGGCTATGAAAATACTCTTTTGACCTCTCAGGCAAATTCTGTACTTCAGAATTATCTCAAAGAAATGAATCAAAAGGAAAGTGAAATTGAATGTGCAAAGTTGCTCACACTTTGTTAAAATACTTGTCAAAACGCTTATGTTAAAAAATGTGATAACAGTCTGTGTGCTCTTCCATAGTTGTTGCGTGGCTAAGCAAAGGAATACTAAGGTACCATGAAAAATAACACCAATTAAAACTCTGTAGTGAAGCTCAGCTGGTTGAGCACTGTCCCACACACCAGGAGGTTGCTGGTTTGATCCCCAGTCAGGGCACAAGCCCAGGTTGACGGCTCAATCCCCAGTAGGGGGAGTGCAGGAGGCAGCTGATTCTCTGTCATTGGTGTTTCTATCTCTCTTTCCCTCTCTCTTCCTCTCTCTCTAAAAAAAAATCAATAAAAACATATCTTAAAAAAACAAAACTCTGTTACTGCATGGGAAAATACTTATATTACAAAGTAAATAGAAATAAACCAGATCCTAAAGTGTCTCTAAACTATGACAGCAACTATATGAAAAGGTTGCATATAGGCAAAGACTGGAAGGAATAAAAAACGCAAAAACTTGATTTGTAGTTTTTCAGTTTAGTTTCAATGTTTTTTAGTTTTAAATTTTCTTTATTTTTAGAATAATGCCATTAGTGTACTACATAAAATCAGGAAGGAATACTGGAATTGCAGTCCCCCTACTTGTTTTTTTTAATTTATCTTTATTGTTGGAAGTATTACAGATGTCTCCTCCACCCCAACTTGTTAAATGTCTGTGTGTAGTATCTATTATGTCTGGTTGCCAAGCAATACTTCAGGTGCTTTGAGAGAAAACCTCATGCCACCAACCAGCCAAACATGCCAAGTCAAGCACATGGGATGGCCTAAGAGTCTCACCTCTGTAAGAAACAGACACACTCTGCCTTATAGCCAATACCTTGGGCATACTGCATCTAATTCTCCTAATTCAATTGCTGATATGGGGTAAGTCACTCACATTCCCTATTTCCATCTGAAAACTACTGACAGTAATTTGTCTTTGGCTTATTTTACAAGTGTGGTAAATAGAGCATCTCAATTAAACTTACATTTTGAAAAAAGAAACCCATCAAACCGGTGGTGGGATAAATATGGCAATTAGTCGGTACTAACCTGATGGGTCACAGAAGTGCGTGGGGGGAGGTAGGTTGTGGGTCTTTAGGTCAGGACTAAAAGGACAAATCCTGGGTGGCCTGTTGGCCTCCGTCACTGAGCATTCACTGGTTTTCACATTCTCATCATGACAAGGGCTCCAATTCTCTTTCTCTCCAAAGCCCCCGCTAACCTGGAAAGCCCTTGAGAGGCACCTCAGTGAAATGTACTCACTGTTCCTTTCCTGATACGCAGCAACAATGTGGGTGAGGTCATAGTCATAGGCAAAAGGGCTGGTCCCGTTGATGACAGACACCTGGGAAACAGCAGGAGGGCCTGGTGTGAGCACTGGAACAGCTTCTTCTCTGGTCTTTCAGTTATCCTGCCCACCCAGGCTGATCTCAGAGACCACCTTCTACCTAGTTCCTGGTGGCCTATTCCAGTATCAGTAATCTTTTCTTCAAGGATGAATGAACTCTCTTGCAATAATTTATTTACTCTCAATCTTTCCCCTTATGTGATGGAAACAAGGGGTCAACATCCACCTTTTATTGGTTTTAAAGCTATTTATAAAATACCTCTCTCTACTCCAATGGGAGAAATAATTCCTTTAATTTTTAAAAATAGATCATACTTTCAACTCCTTTGTTTTTTCTTGCTCCTCTCTGGATGATTTCTAGTTTATCTCTTTCAAATGTAGATTTGGAAAAAGTGCAAATAGTAAGCATATCCCCTGAAGGCAAGGAAATGGCTTCTTGCCTTCTAGTATCATATTCCTCTAGTATCATATTGATATAAACCTTCAAATAAAATGTGCTATAGGTTTCTAGGTGAAGGCAGGACCCAAATGCTGAAGACTTAGGGGAGGTATTAAAAAATGTAAAAAAAAAAAATTCCTTATCAACATGGCAACAAAAAAACTTCCTGAACTGACCTCCCACTGACACACTGAATCTACAGCTTACACGTGGAGCAATTCCCTCTGAAAGAAATCCAGAAATTAGTTGAGTGACTATTACACATTGAGCAAATGAGAAAATACCCACATCACCCACACTGAAACAATCTTAGCACAGCCTCAACTACTGGGAGCCACTAAGAACAAAGCAGGCAGCTTGGACAATGACAAAGGTTTGACAGCAACGAAGAACTCTGGCTTGGCTGATTGATAAGATTCATTTCCTACATGAGTCCGTCAAGATTAGGAAAGGGGATGTTTTATCTAATGCACAGAAACCAACACAGTCAAGGAAAATAAAGAAGTAGAGGAATATGTTTCAAACAAAAGAAGAAGATAAAACTCCAGAGATAGACTTTAATAAAATGTTGATAAATGACTTATCTGCAAAAGTTCAAAATATCAGTCACAAAGATGCTCAGAGGTCAGGAGAACAAGACATGAACAAAGTAAAAAAGGACACTATAAGGAAATCACAAGCAAACATTCCTGATGAACACAGATGCAAAAATCCTCAACAAAACATTAGCTAACCAAATTCAATAGTACATTAAAAGGATCAGACAACATGGTCAAGTGGGATTTATTCCAAGGATGTAAGGATGGTTCAACATCCACAAATCAATAGATGTGATACACCACATTAACAAAATGAATGATAAAAATCATCTCAGTAAATGCAGAAAAAGCATTTGACAAAATGCAACATCCATTCATGGAGAAAGAAAAAAAACTCTCAACAAAGTGGGTACAGAGGGAACATACCTCAATATAATAAAGCACATATATGACAGACCCACAGCTAACATCATCCTCAATGGTGAAAAGCTGAAAGTTTTTCCTCTAAGATCAGGAAAAAGACCAGGATGTCCACACTCACTGCTCTTATTCAACACCGTACAGGAAGTCCCAGCCAGAGCAATTAGGCAAGAAAAAGAAATAAGTCATCCAAATTGGAAAGGAAGAAGTAGAATTGTCTCTACTGGCATATGACACAATATAGAACACTCTAAAGATTCCACACAAAAAACTGTTAGAACTTATAAATGAATCGGTGAAGTTGCAGGATACAAAATCAATATACAAAAATCATTTGCATTTCTGTACACTAACAATGAAATATTAGAAAGAGAAATTACAAAAACAATCCCATTACACTGCATCAAAAAGTATATAAAATATGTAGAAATAAATGTAACCAAGGAGGTGAAAGATCTGCACACTGAAAACTATGACATTGATAAAAGAAACGGAAGGCACAAATTAATGGAAAGGTATTCTGTGTTCATGTGTTAAAAAGAATTAATGCTGTTAAAAAGTCCATACTACCCGAAGCTATCTACAGACTCTGTGGAATCCCTATCAAAATTCCAGTGGCATTTTTCACAGATGTAGAAAAAACAATCCTAAAGTTTGTACGGAATCACAAAAGACCCCAAACAGCCAGAGCAATCTTGAGAAAGAACAGAGCTGAAGGCGTCAAACTTCCGGACTGAAACTATTACAGGCTGCTGGGGCGATAGGCCGGCTTTTCTCGGCTAGCAGCGGATAAAGTGTACCGGGGGCCAAGAGCTACATAGTAGCGCCAGGCGCCAGGAGCGTGAGCTAGACGCCAACACGTCGCGTCGGGGGTGGGGTGGGGGGTCGTTGTGTCGTGAAAACAACGCTGGGAGCCGTCTCCCTGACAGCAGGTGCACGCTTTAGCCCCAGGTGGGCTCACTGGCTGCCTGGCTAGTCTTGGTTCATGCCTAGCCCTTTCCTCCCTGGACCTGACACCAAGCAGCAACACTGAGCCAACCACCGCTGCGGGCAATGGCAGCCTCATTGGCCTCGGTTTCTCAGAGCTCGCAACGGCCCATAAAGGGGATCCTGAAGAACAAGAGCTCTACAGTTTCCTCTCCGGCAGCCTCGGCAGAACAGCAGCCGTCCAGGAGTGTCGACGAGATGAATAAAAAATCCCAGAGGTGGGATGAAATGAATATCCTGGTGACATATTATCCAACCGAAGAAGACTATGGTTTAATTAATGTACAAGAACCAAGCACTCCGGACCACAGTAGGGTAGGTGACGATGAAGATGCATTGAGTGATTCAGAAACCATTGAAGGCCTGACCCCAGACATGTTAACTACGGAATTAGTTGCTGAAGGCGAGAAGCCAAACTACGGGGTTTGTGAAAAAGTGAGCGCTGTAGATGAAGACAATGATCTCTCAACTGAAGAACAAGGTAAACAGTCTTTACTGAGTGCCTGCTGTTTATTCTTTTTCAAGTGCTCTGTAGGAAGTGGGCAGGGGGAAGAAAAGTCCCAGCTTCAGGGAACTTCCAGACGGGCTGAAGGAAAAAAGCGACAGTTTGAAATGAAAAGGAAGCTTTATGACAATGAAGGACTGCATATTAAGCTAGCTAAGCAATTAATTTCCAAAGACCTAAACGAGGAAGAGGAAGAGGAAGAAGTTTCAAAGACTGCAGATGGAGAAAGTATGAATACGGAAGAATCGAATCAAGGATCTACAGGTGACCAACTGCAAAACAAATCACCGAGTTCATAGAAGAGGTCTGGTTCAACGCTAATTGTCTGATACAAACCCTGTGACTGTATTATACTGCTTCTTGTTCTCTACAGTTCCTAACTTAAGTACCCAAATGCATACCAGTTATTATATGTTGCCAAGAATTAAATAACTTTAGAGACTAATTAGACTGAAAATGCCTAATTGATACATATATTCTTGTGCCTAGTACTTCATCACAAATACAGCATATAGTATCATCTGTCCAAAACTGCATTACTTTTGTAAGAACACTGGTTAATTTGTATAAGATATTATATAGCATTTTATGTTTTAGAGGTTAAACAATATCTTGGGGAAAGGAGGGGATCTAATTTATTTTCTTGACTTCCAGATGTAATAGCTCTTATAAAAATTTTTTTAAAAATCAAAATCCAATTGGAACAACAGATTACATAGGCTGATAAATATTCAGTCTGAAAAGTATTTTAACACGTCTCAACTTGATTTATCTGTTTAATTGAAAAGGATTATTATAGGAGTCACTGTGGCCTTTTATGGCCTACTACACCTTTTTTTTCCAATGCTTTTTCAGAGAGTGGAAGGGGAGAAGAGAGAGAGAGAGAGAGAGAAACATCAATGTGAGAGAGACACATAGATTGGTTGCCTCCTGCATGCACAAGGCGAGGGATTAAGCCTGCAACCGAGGTAGGCGCCCTTGGCAGGAATGGAACCTGGGACCCTTCAGTCCTGGGGTAGAGGTTCTAACCACTGAACAAACTGGCTAGGGCTGGCCTACTATCTTTAAAATTCTGTACAGTGGTAGTTAAGAACACAGTCTCTGGCCTGGCCGGGCGTGGCTCAGCGGTTGAGCATCAACCTAGGATCCTAGGCGATCGGGGTTCGATTCCCGGACAGGGCACATGCCCAGTTATGGGCTCGATCAGTGACTCATCATTGATGTTTCTATGTCTCTCTCTCCCCTCCTTTCCTCTCTCTGAAATCAATAAAGTTATATTAAAAAAAAAAAAATTTAAAATAAAACTACCATACGATCCTGAAATCCCACTTCTGGGCATATATCCAAAGGAAAGGAAAACAGGATATTGAAGAGATATCTGTATTCCCATGTTCACTGCAGCATCATTTACAATAGCCAAGATATGGAAACAACCTAAGTGTCTGTCAATGGATAAATGGATAAAGAAGATGTGATATATAAGTAAAATTATTCAGACATGAAAAAGGAGACCCTGTCATTTGCAGCAACATGGATGGGCCTTAAAAGCAGTATGCTAAGTGAAATAAACCAGATAAAGATAAATACTGCATGGTATCACTTATATGTGGAATCTAAATTAAAAAATCAAACTCATAGAAACAGAGTAGAAAATTGGTTGCCAGGGACTGGGAGCTGGGGGCAATAGGGAGAGGGTAAAAATACAAAGTTTTAGCTATAAAATGAACAGAGTCTGAGGATCTAATGTATAACATGATGACTATAGTTAATAATACTATACTGTGTAATTGAAATTTGCTAAGAGGGTAGAACTTAAATGTTCTCATACATATACAAAAAAGATAAATATGTGTGGTGATGGATGTGTTAACTGATAGGAATCCTTTCACAATGTGTACATCTGTCATGATATATACTTTAAATAGCTTACAGTTTTGTCAATTATACTTCAATAAAGCTGAAAAAAAAACCCAGCAAAGACCATTTCCAAGCCAAAAAAAGTGCCATATTAAGTTTATATTTTATAGTCCTCCCTTTTTTTTTTTTTTTTAACTTGCATTGATTATAGCTAGGGTGACCATAAATCCTAGTTTGTCTGGAAGAGTCCTATAATAACTGATAATGTCCCTCTTTCCTTTTCAAAAGTAGCCTAGCCCAACTTATATGCCCCCCCTTGGGATATAATAAAGGTTAGTAGTAATGAGTGTTTACATGAATGAGTTCTGGCCTCAGACAGACAATTCATGGCTCTGTTACTTTCATGCTGTGGGACTTTGGAAAAAATTAATTAATCCCTGTAAGTCCCAGTTTCCTCAAGTGTAAAATGAGTTCATTCTTTCAACAAATATGAGTTCTTACAATGTGACAGACATTGTTTTAGGCACTACAGTGAAAGTACAGATGTTAGTGCTTTTACTATTGGAGAAAGCAAATAAACAGAAAACATATCTTTAACATTTCAGGTGGAAGTAAACCTAGGTGAGGGATGATGGAGAGAGAGGGGAATGCTATTTTAGAAAAAAGTGTCAGGGCCCTAGTCAGTCGTCTCAGTGGTTAGAGCATCAGCCCACAGACTGAAGGGTCCCAGATTCAATTCCTGCCAAAGGCACAGACCTTGGTTGCAGGCTTGATCCCCTGCACTGGTCGAGGTGCGTGTGGGAGGCAACCAATCGATGTGTCAATCACTCTCTCCCTTCTACTCTCTCTGAAAAGTAATGGAAAAAATATCCTCATGTGAGCATAAAATTCAATGAAATTAAATTAATTAAATTAGCCCGGCCGGGTGTGGCTCAGTCGTTAAGCGTCGACCTAGGATCCAGGCAATCGGGGTTGGATTCCCAGTCAGGGCACATGCCCGGGTTGCGGGCTGCAGCCGATCAATGACTCTCTCATCATTGATGTTTCCATCTCTCTCTCCCTCTCCTTTCCTCTCTCTGAAATCAATAAAGATATATTTTTTAAAATAAATGAATAAATAAATAAATAAATAAAATAAAAATAAAATAAAATAAAATAAAAATAAATAAAAAAATAAATAAATAAAATAAAATAAAAGTTTTGCCCAGCCAGCCTGGCTCAGCAGTTGAGCATCAACCTATGATCCAGGAGATCTCGGTTCATTCCCAGTCAGGGCACATGCCCCTGTTGTGGGCTTGATCCCAAGCAGGGGACGTGCAGGAGGCAGCCAATCAATGACTCTCTCTCATCATTGATGTTTCTCTGTTGCCCTCTCCCTTTCTTTCTGAAATCAATAGAAATATACTTAAAAAAAGAAAAAGAAAAAAAAAGAAAAGTGTCAGGGAAGGACTGTGTTCAGAGACATTTGAACAGGAAACTGAATGGAGTGGTAGAATAGGCTATGTGCATATTTGGCAGAGGGAAAGGCAAGTGCAAAAGCCCTGAGGCAGAAGCAGCGTTATAGGTTTGAAGAATTGCACAAAGACCAGTATGGCTAGAAAGGAGCAAGGGGAACAATGATTGAGCAAGCAGCTGGAGAGCTGGGAAACGGCTGGGTAGGCATCTCCCAAGGACACTGTGATGATTAAACAAGATGATATATTTAAACCTCTTAACTCAGGGCTGATATATATTATGTGCTCAAGAATCAGCTATTATTATTTTTGAAATGTTTTACATGAACTGAAAAAAATCACTTAGAATATGATGTGTGTGTATGTGTGTATTCAAACACAATAAAGAATTTGTTGCTTAGGTTGAAAACAGATTTTTTTCTCCCTTTCTAGATGTAAATACAGGCAAATCTATCTCCATATTTTGAAAGAATTCATGGCAGGAATTCCTCAGAAATCCTCTTCCATGCCCCTACACTTCCTCTTTTCCCTCTTCAAAGAACTGGTAAATACTAATATATACAAACAAAGGAGATAGACAAGGAAAAGCATCCTTACATTGTATCGAACATCTAGGCCATCGTAACTTAGGGGCTGCTTCTGCTGAAGCCTCAGGTCTCCATTCACATATACCTGGGACCCAGGAATAGCGAAGGACGACTGAAGAAATGCCATGCTCTGCATCACAAATGTTGACATCCTCTGAAATAATTAGAGGGAGAGACAATACCAGCTTCATTCAGATCTTAAGGGCTCTGGGTTCTAAACATCACCCGTCTATAGTTGAAGTCTGATGGTCCCTCATATCATGACTTAGCCATGCAGGAAGAACTCTGCCCAGAACCCTTTGAGCTGTTAATAGCTTGTATAAATTAATATGGCCCTAATGAAAAACATTTGATTTGGCCCTGCCTGGCATGGCTCAATGGTTAGAGTGTCGGCCTGCACAACTGAGGGTTGTAGATTCCATTACCGGTCAAGGGCATGTACCTGGGTTGCAGGCCAAATCCCTGCCCCCAGTTGGGTTGCATATGGGAGGCAACCAGTGGATGTGTCTCTGTCACATCGATGTTTCTCTCTCCCTCCCTCCCTCCCTCTCCCTTCCTCTCTCTAAAATCAATAAAGATATATATTTTTTTAAATGCAAAATAAAACCACACTGGTATATTACTATAACTCTACCAGAACAGCA